ATTATACTGAGCTCATATTTTATAGAATGGCTTAAGACTAATTTTTGTCTATATGAATAATTTCATATTCTTTTGTACACGAAATATTAGTGTCCACTAAAATTATGAATAAGTTCCTGAAGTTCAGAAAATGTCTTATCAATTATTAAAAGAAACTACTTTGACCTTACTACAAAATAGAATAAACTTTTTCTTTCAAATAACACCAATTTATACATACAATTAGTCAAAATGATATTTTTGAAACAACTTGAAACAGAGGCATATTTATAATAGGCGTTTGAACATTGTAATGGGAAGTTTTTAAAAATTGAATAAATAAGTAAATAAATAAAAGTTAAATGTTAATCTACTGTTTTCAAACGTCTATTTTTCCCAGAAACGTCTACGAGTACCAAGTAAACAATTGCAGGATTGTTTATATTTAATCAAACATGAAGAAGCATTAAAAAAGATCAACATAGACTAGATAAATAAGTTGTCAAGCAATTTTGGGTAAATAAAAGTAACTCCCTGGATTAAAGAAGATTTTAGTATCAAATGAAAATTAAACAACTGTTTAGATGAACGAATATCTTAATCGTTTAAGTAAAGTTTTCCGAAAATAATGATTTTTAATGACGACTAGTTATTAATAACTTTTTTCGTAGGTAATTCAACTGAATCTTTTTTAGATTTATTATCTAGTGTATATATATTGGTAATAACGTGCGTGATAGGTTTACTTATTAAATACATAGACTAGTTAAGGGACCTTCACTTTTACGTAGTAGGCTTTCAATAAATAGAATTACATATATATTTGCCTGAAAATGTCTAGGAAATTTTCTGGATAATTTTCTTACTATCAGTGATCTAAAACTGCTTGAAATAATAAAACACAAATACACCTACACGTGGTAGAAGTTATTTGCATATTTATTTATCCGGTATATACATAACAATAATTATAAATTTATTTAAATGATATTTTCTATAAGAAGACTATACAGATATGTATGTAAAAGCAATAACTTAAATTGAAATGGGTGAGTTTAATAATCCAAAAGACAATGGTCCTCTGCGCGATGCACTTTTGGTCACAAAATTTGAAACATTAAGAGAAGGTGTTAATGAGAGTATGAGGCTGGACGGCTTACTAATTAATCAAATTTTTAGAATCGGTAAATTTGCTGTCATATCAGCCGACACATTTCAATATTTTTTGTTTGTTACATCTTCGCTTGGAAATTTTTGTAGTTATTACAATGAAAATGGAATAANATCGGGAACAGAAGAACGTATAGAATTCCAAATTCATCCTGGCCACAACTAATTCATAAATAAAGATTTAACAAATTGGTAAAGGCTTTCGCGACCAATAGGTGAAGACGCTATTCTGATTCGAGTTTAAAGGCCGTCATCGGTTGAAGTTGCTTCCAACGTTTCGTTAAAACAAGTGGCAAACTTCTTCAGAGGTCCTTCCATCTCCGATGCTGGATTGGATTGGTTTCCTTTGAGTGAAAAGAAGGACTTCTAAAGAAGCTCGCCATTCTCGCGCTAGTAAAACGTTAGGAAGGAACTCAAAAAGTCGACGATTAGAACAACATCAATTCAAAATTTAAAGTAAGAAATCAAGCTACATATGGGGCAAAGGTTTTTATTTTCACGAGACCAACAAGCTACGTTTCTCCTCAATTACGAGTCATCTTCAGAGCTAAACGGATAATTATTACACAAGCAACTTAGGTTTCTAAGTTATAAAATCTGAAAGTCCAAGGTTGCAATAGTTTTGTCGTTGAACATAGTTCTCTGAAATTACTTGTGTAACAATTGTCCTTTTAGCACTGAAGATGCCTCGTAATTGAGGCGAAACGTAGGTTGTTGGTCTCGTATAAATAAAAACCTTTACTCCACATTTAGCTTGATTTTTTACTTTATACAATTGTTGGGAAATAAATAGTAACAAAATATAAGAAACGTTATGAAATAAGTATTACAATTAGTACTAAAGTTACTTGATAGATACTAATTATCTTAATTGAATGAATCGACTGCAGTTTATTCTGCGTTTAATTGAAACTACTAAATATTCTAAATAATAATCTTGAAAGCTGTAATATTATTGAACACTTTGTGTTCGAGCCCCCGCAGAGAATTCTTGAAGACTGTTGTGTTTTGCTTTTGTAATGCGTATCAGATACGTATTTTTGTAAATTCTTATGTTACTAGACTGCCTGTAAACTTCTTATACAAATACGTAGACATTTTGCCGATTATGATGATGAAGTCGAATGAACTGTTTGATACAATCGCTTACAGTAACCACCCACGCTATTATTTATACAAATAATAGATGTTATTAACCGCGCTTATACAGTAATTGTGTATAGCAGACGTTTATTATAAATTTATCACTTACCAATTTTGTTATAAATAACTCTATCGATATGACAGCTATAAATAAATCAGCTGATTAAGCATACCTGTAATCTGCAATTAATCTTAATTATTTTAGAATGCATTTTTTTTTTGAGTGGTATTATCAATTGAAGGGTTTTTTAAATTGTTTAATGTTGGGCAATTTTTTTTTGCTTAAGTCACTCGCTATTAGTAACAAGTTATCTGTTTAAACAAACATTGTTGTATGTTTGTTTTTTGTAAACAAATGTAGAACTGAATGGTTGGATTGTAAAATTGAAATTTTCCGTTCGATCTCCTGCTTTCCGGAAACAATAAATTTAAACTGAAACCTTATACGTAACATCACATCGCATTACTGCGTCAGAATGTGGAATAACTGATTTTTTTTTGTATTATTTCGTAAAAGTTGTACGGTACTTTTTAGTTTTTTTTTAGGATTATACGCATATATTCTCTTATAAAGTGCTTAGGTGAATATTTTTTTATTTTCCCTGCATCATTGGATTCTGAAATGAAGGAAATAAAAGAAAAATTGTTACACTTGGTTTTTCCGAACTTCGTTTTCCAGAGAAAATCGATTGACCTCGAAAGGTTGTTAAGTATTTAAACAACAAGTATCCCAAAAAATTTTTCAAAATAAACCTTAAAATTTAAATTAAAACCATTATACAATTCATATTTCTAAATATATATTGAAAACATGCAATTAGCGCAATGGTAAATAAAATAGAGTTTTTGATATATTTAACAGTAACACTAATGCAGTAATAATATGTTTAATGATAATTTTAACTATCCAATTTTGTATGAATTGTATAAT